GTGTGTGTGTGTGTGTGTGGGTGTGTGTGTGTGTGGGTGTGTGTGTGTGTGTGTGTGTGTGTGTGCAGCTTGGCAGGCGGCTAACACGGGAGTTGAAACGGAGCGGGAGGAGAAAATAACTTTCCTCCCGAGCGAAGTTCTGAGTGTTTCTCTATGAGGAGCTGTCATGTCCAGACATCAGTGCTGGAGCTGCTGCTCTGAGTCTCTTGATAGGAGACACTTTGATTCTCAGCTGTCCGTCAGACACCGAGGCAGGTCGGCTTTCTGCGAGAGCTCCACATGGTGCAGCCAAAGTGCCTGTTTCTATTGGAGCTCTGTGAGGTGACTCAGGTGTCTTAAAGAATCAGCACGTCTTTGGTGATAAAGCTTATTTAAAGGGAAATGTGCCTGACATATTTTATCCACACTGCATGGAAACATGGATATGTTTATTTCTTGGTTCGACTACATCAGTACTCATCAGTATATTTATAATTCTCCAGGGTTTTTCCTGCATTAAGAATTACGGTTGGCCGCTTTCGTCCTGCCTCCAGCTCGCAGCAAAGCTGTGACATGTCCTCTGAATCCTGTCATTTGTAACAGCACACGTGGCATGACACTGATGTGGTGTCTCTGTATTGTAACTGGCAAAGATGCTGCCAAACCAGCCAAAGGCTTTTACCTGGGCCGATGCAAAGTGTGTACCAGATCTATAAATGCTAAATAAAGCCAATAAAGTCATCTTTGGTCTCCTTTCCCCGCCGTTCAGTGTTCTAATATAGTTTCATATCACCATATATGGTTTTAAAAACCAGCCTACAGGAGTCGCCGTTTGTGAACGCAGCTCTCTGCAGTTCGGTAAAGTTAAAAAGATATTCACAGATTCAAACTTCCCTGATCAATAACTCACAAACAAACTGCTGTTAAAGCACAAAAATATTCAGTAACTTCACTCATAAAGTGAAGATTAGATTAGATTAGATTCACTTCTCACATCAGTGCTTTCCTGGAGGTTTTACTTCACTATGTCACATAACACTGACTACAGCTTTAAACTCACCTGTCACCCTGATGGTGTAGTTGCCAAGCAGCGTGTTGCTGTGGGCGAGCCGACACGAGTAGATGCCCGAGTCCTCGTACGACACGTTGATGATGCACAACATCCTCTGGCCCAGCCGTGTGCGGTTGCTAGGCACCAGCCCGGCGCCGTCTTTGAACCAGACGACAGGCTCCGAGTGGTCCTCCAGGTCACATGACATTTCCAGGGTGTCCCCCATGCCCAGGACATAGTCCTCCAGGAAGGCTGTCTCGCTGGACACAGAGTCTGCACACACACACACACACACACACAGGACACAGACAGTTAGGAGACACGTTTTGTTTCAACATATTTCAGTTATCCATCAATCATACTTTAAATGTACAGATGACTGTGTGAACTCTGGTCTTTATTTATCAGGTAACAATGCAAAGTGTTCTCTGGCGCTGCTCCTCACATGTAAGATAAGCTTCTTCCTGTCTGCATGGTCGGATAGCTTTTACATTTATGGAACTTTAAATTGATTTCTTAATGTTGTTTGGACATTTGAGGCGTCGAGATTAATTTTCATTAAACAGCAGCTCATCAATATGAAACTGCCACCAGCAGCCTGCGAACATCAGGACATGATGTCACAGGAAGGTAAGACGAGGCAGGTCATGTGACACAGACCCTGCATCAGTTTCCTCCTCACAGCTACGCACTGCAAAATACTAATAATTAAGGCTTTAAGACTTTGTACAAACACCTCCTTCTCCACAGAGTCATTAAGAGGCCGACTTGGTCGCTGAGCACCCCCCCCCCCCCCCCCCCCCCCCCCCCCCCCCCCCCCAAAAAAAAACAAAGAGCCAGTGATGCAGATTTAACCGTCGACCTGCTGGCGAACTATCAGCTAATCTGCCTCTGGAAGTCAGGAAAGTGCAACTTTTTATTCCAGCGTGAGGAAAGAGACAGATCTGGGCTGTGTGGGAATGAACCTCCCTCCTCCTCCTCCTCCTCCTCCTCCTCCTCCTCCTCCTCCTCCTCCTGTCAAACACCAGCTCATTGACTCCAGGAGCTCCGTGTGCCAGCTCGGTCTGAGCCAGGGAAAAATCAACATGTTTACTGGCTCTGCTAAAGATGCCGGCCGCCACTGAGGACGGAGGAGACATGGAGGACACGTCTGGATAAATAAACACTGGGCCCCCTTGTGTCCCCTCATGTCCCTCCATCAGAGGTGTCTCCTCATCCAGACCTCAATTATACATCATCTCCATCAGGGACAGACAGAAAGCTAAGCTCATGCACACTCTGGTCGCTCTGGCAACCGTTCAAACGAGCGCCATGTTGTACACAAACACACTTAGAAGCACTCAAACCCACAAACAAGCTGCTGAGGCAACAAAGTACACAACACAAACGCACACCCACCCGTCCGTCCATGGGAAAGACTGAACGAGGTGCGTTAAGAGCGTGATTTATGATGGCAAACACGCCCACTGTTGACCCGCCAAAAGGGCAGCGGCCTTCCTGAGGCTCGCTGACAGGCGGCGGACGTGAACGCAGCGCTCTAACAGACAGCCTCCAACTGGAGTCCAGACGCAAGGTTGGAATCAGGAGTGGCCCAGACCAGACAATCTTCACGGGGAATACATAATAGGTGCTCTGAATTATAGATGTGCTCTTTCACTGTGAGACGGACTGCTGCTGCGGACCGACCCAGACGTGATATCCAGCAGGTAACGCTGCCACAGAAACACATCTGTATGACGACATTTCATGCAGGTGTTAAAGGGACAGTTCAGATCTGTGGCTGTGAGGTTCTGACCCACAGTCAGTGTGTTTCCTCCAGCAGACGTCAGTCCCCCAGTTTGGAGAAGCAGACTAGAGTCAGACACTGAGGCTGAGGATGTGCTGCAGTGGAGAGGGTCAGTAACAAAATGGATGTCAGCCACCAAGTGTGAGTGATGTGTGAAATATTTTTACTCCTTTACCATCCAACAGTTTTTCAGACGAGGACTGAAGCTGTTATATCGCTCTCTCTTCTTTGCAAGACTCCGTTAGGAAAATGGTGACTTCACATCTCTGAGCACAGGAGCTGCTGGACTCTTGGCCGGCCCTCATCTCCAACTCGTCAAATACCACAACTTTGTCATTTCAGCGTCAAACACCAGCACCAAAAACCACCTGCCGCAGTGATATGATACGCAGACAGGTGACGTCAGTTTGAAACGCTGCCAGTAATGACAGTGCTGGGAAAAGGCGGGTGGGAGGTGGATGCGTTGAACAAAGACTGGACTTTCACCCAGGAGCCTGCTGTTCACTTCCTGTATGAATGTTGAGCCAAACCATGATGCTTTTTCTAAACCTAACCACGTGTTTGTTGCACAAGGAAATAAACTTTAAAACTAGTTGTTAAACCGGTGATGTAATTTTATTTAAAAATAGACTGTGTGCATCTAACGAGCAGAAACTGTACATTTACTGTGAAATCAGAACTTTATTTTGAAAAGACACGGTGCATGTAACAGGTGTAAACTGATGCAGCATCCTGGAAGGTCAACAACAGACACATCCAGACGTAGATGTTAAAGGAACTGACCAAGTGGAGTTTTTTGAGTTGAGATGAGGACGCATTGGTCGACCGCTGCCTCGATCAAGACAGGTTTCATGTTATTGTGCAAATTTGGTAACCTGGAAACCCAGATGCCCCGCCCCTAGGAAATTTGAATATGCTCTGGATCAGACCAATCAGATCAGTCTATCTGACAGAGGCGGGCTCTGGGCAGGTGTAACATGATGAGAGTCTAAAAGTAAACAGCCAAGATGGCAGCTGGGGAAGGACCGCGCACATTCAATTTAGTTTTGGAAGAAACGCTGAGCCAACTGCACTTATCTTTCTCCTTGAGAGAGGAACAGAAGACTGCCCTAGAAGCCTTTGCTTCCAGGAAGGACGTTTTTGACGTTTTTGCTGACGGGATACAGCAAACGCATAATATATCAGTTAGCCCCACGGGTCGGCAAACACATGGGGCATAGTGCAATGAATACGTCACCTTGATGCCTCAGTTAGTGCCGCCCCTTGGGTAGGAAGCGTGTATGGGTGAGGGCCAGACTCAGAATCTTTCTAGAGTTGAGTCTGGATTTCCAGGCTACAAATCTGGTGTTTAAAAGAGTCAAATTATTTCACCAAAGTCACAGAATTACACAAACTAATGTACTGCTGCAGCTCCTGAGTTTAACGAGGTAGAATGACTGTTTCCATCAGTGGAGTCTGGAGGCTCTGACGAGGCCAAAGATGGAGAACTAAATCCAACTTTCCTGCTGGAGCAGGCTGACTGACTGAAAGGTGGAGTGGTGAAAATATTCTCAATATAACGGACATATAAACTGTTACAGAATATTTTAGGTGGCTGCTGCCCCCCGTCATCAACAGTGCATTGCTTTGCTTCTGTGTCAGTACTGCAGTCTGCTTCTCCAAACTGTGATCGTGTCAACAGACGTCTACAGTATCTGCCACACTGACTGTGGAGAAGTACCTCATCCAGCCCCACTTGAGAGAACGTGACCTCTCCCTTTGATAAAGTGAAGTGAATGGATGAGTTGTGAACTGTTTGCTCTGTCTTATTGCAGCCGTTATAAAATCCTGGAGATGTAAAGTCAATAATGTGCTTAACGTGGCTGTGCAGCTCTCGGCGTGGCCTCTGGCTTTGACAACAATATTTACAGCACGTCTTTGAAAAGCAGAAAGGCCCATTGAGGAGAAGAAAAACACGGAGGCGTCGCTGCACAGAGCATAAATCCAGTCGCAGCATGAATGGCTCGCTACCTTGGTGTATTACTTATGACCTCTGTGAAAGGAGAGGAGAAAATAGGTCTTAGAATATCTTCAGCTCTTAAACATGCTGCATTGGGCTTTATGGGGCAGATATAATAATCTCCAGAGACTCATAGCTCACTCAGGCTTTATGGAGCCCCAACGCTCCAGCACAACCTCCTCTGGCAGCTCTGAATGAGCAGCAGCAGCGAGGCCTCGACTGCAGCCGTGTCTTTGTATGACGCACATGCTTCCTGTTTAAAGGGTTCATCCACCCAAATTACAGAAACATATTCTCTCTTTTTCTCCTAATGTGACCAGGCAGGTAGTTTCAATCTGTTATTATCACGTCCTTACAGCTCGCTGAGGACCAGACATTACAGCTTCTTCATTAGGATTAGTGTGTGTGTGTGTGCGTGCGTGTGTGTGTGTGTGTGTGTGTGTGTGTGTGTGTGTGTGTGTGTGTGTGTGTGTGAAAGGAACACTTCTGCTTTGATCCTGGGAAAACAGATAGGATGTTTACAGTGCCAGGGGCCAAACAAAATGCAATTTACCCAAAGAAGAAAACAAAACAAAGATGCGTCCCCGCATACATTACAGAAACAGAAACCCTCCAGTTCTCAGGTGTCACACAAAAGAGCAAAGCCGTCTTTTTTCGGTCACCGTCAATGACAAAATATCTGCTGCTGCTTCAGATCCCGCACTTTGAAATGCAGATGTAAATGTGGGGGAGAAAAGCTGCTTTGAATGAAAGAGCTTTCACTTTGTGCCACTGAACAATCTTTCAGGACGGACGGAGCAGACGCTGAGCTTTAGTACAGACCATTGCTGCCTCGCTGTACCTTTCAAGCCAACGTCCTGTACTGTGCAGCCACAGGTTTGATCACGCTGACAAGAGACGGCTCTTTAAAATGAGCTCATATAAAGTGTGTCAAAGAGAGGAATTCCTAATTAGTGAATGAGCACTTTAAATTCCTGAAGAGAAAATTCCAGCTGCTGTGTTGTTTCACTGAGCAGCTCCGAGGTGAGCGAGTGTGAAGCAGGACGTTACATCAGTCAGCTTCCTCTGCATGTGAGCAAAGGTTAGAAGACTCCGAGTGCAGGCTGGACTCAGACGGCCCAGTTTGTCTCTTGTGGTTCAGGATCTGACAGGAGGCTTAAGGAACCTGAGTCCTGGAGAGACGGGCCGCGTGTGACCACAGGAAATGTTGCAGAAAGCCTTAAAGCAGCTCAGAGGTTTACCTGCTCTCTGGCAGCAGGAAGTGCAGCCGTAAGGATCCAAATTTCTTTTCATATTTATGACACTGAAACCACAGTAAAGCTCCAAAAACTAGTCAAACAACAGCTCTGCATATTTCAGACCAGTCGTCAGCAGGACGTGTTGGCACTGAGCGTTTCTACAAACCACAAATATGTTACATTCATACGTGTTTCTAAACTAACGTAGTGACAGGCTGTGCTCACTAATGTTGTCCTACAAAAAGAAATG